TTAATCTATAGACTCTACCTTCAAAAGGTCCTACCTCCTTCTTTCCTTCTCATGCCTAGATAATTGCAATAGCACCTTACCTAGTCTTCTAGCTGCTCTTCTCAACAAATGACTGGCAGTCTCAATTTTCTAAAGTGCCACGTCTAATATATCTATCATTCATAGAAACTTCCAGGGCTCCATGTTGTCTTGGAGACAAAGCCTGAATACTTCTGACTGGCACCTGAAGACACTTTGTAAACTGGCCCCAGATTGTCCCAACTTAGCTCTTCACTTCCTGGTCTGACTGGTCCTCCATAGCACCCCCACCCCAGGCTGGACCTTCCCACCTCTCTAATGTTGTTGGAACTTCTCCTGCTTGCCCCCTCCAGGCTCTGCTCAGCGGCTCTTTTTAAAAAAAAAAAACAACACACAAAAAACCTATTCCACTATTAATAGAGAAATCACAAATAATATACCCAAGAATCATTTAAAAACATCATTCACTTGTGAAGCTCACAATAAATTATAATCTACTTATACATGCATTGTTTCAGTAGATTCTCAAAACTGAGTAGCATATTGATATTTTCTCCATTTTCAAATGTGGAAATTCAAGTTTTTAAAGGCCTAAATAGCTCTGATTAAAGATTCAGCAATACTACAATATATATAACTAACAAAAATGTTAATGGAATGTATGAGATCCTCTAATGGTTCTAATTTGCATTTTCAATTGAAGTATAATTGATTTACAATGTCATGTTAGTTTCAGGTGTATATCACAGTGATTAATCAATACATATATACATATACATAATCTATATTTGTATAGATTAATAAAAAATATTGAGTACAGTTCCTTGTGTTTTACAGTAGGTCATTGTTGTTATCTATTTTGTATATAGTAGTCTCAGTGGTTCTTCTGTGAAAGTACTTTTCAATTCAGCAGGGCTGTTCCTGAAACACAAACAAAACTTTGTTGAAACTATGCAAGTACTGAAATGACACACAAGATCTCCTACCCAACCACATTAACTATTTTCAATTCTCAACTTCTTTCCAAGGTGTGCTTGTGTTTCTATTTTATATATACATACAAAAATACATATAAAATACATATATTGCATATAGGGCTGCTATGTGTACATACAGTATGTACATAATCATGCTCTAGCCATCAGAATTCCATATTTCTGCAATCTTAGATTTTCTAATTTTTATGACTGCAGACATTCCACTACTATCTATCAAATGGAGATAATAATATTGCCCACCTTATGGGTTTACTCTGAGTATTAAACAACAAGTTAAAACAGAGACACTCAACCTTGACCAACAAGTTAAAACAGAGACACTCAACTTTGACCATGTTGCAGAATCATACTTCTTTAGTAAGAAGGCTTATTAAAATACTGTGTCTTAGGCCTTGGCCTCAGAAATCTGATTCAGTAGGACAGGGTAGGGGGCCTGAATTTGTATTCCAGGTGCTACTAGATCAAGGACCACACTTTGAAAAACCACTGAATTAGTATGTGTAAAGTGTTCAGAATAATGCCTTGCATAGAGTAAGCACTCAATGAAAACTGAAAGTGAAATTTAGTCACTCAGTTGTGTCTGACTCTTTGCAACCCCGTGGACTATAGCCCGCCTGGCTCCTCTGTTCACAGAATTCACCAGGCAAGAATACTGGAGGGAGTTGCCATTTCCTTCTTCAGGGGATCTTCCCAACCCAGGAGTTGAACCTGGGTTGGGTTCAATGTCTCCTGCATTGCAGGCAGATTCTTTACTGGAATGGGTTGCCATTTCCTTCTCCAGGGGATCTTCCCAACCCAGGGATCAAACTCCTGCATTGCAGGCAAATTCTTTATGGTCTGAGCCACCAGGGAAGGATAAGCACTCAATAAATGGAGCTATTTGCTATTTCTGAGATAAAATAAACTCCCCTAGTGGCTCAGATGATAAAGAATTTGCCTGCCAATGCAGGAGCCAAGGGTTTGATCCCTGGGTTGGTCAAGAAGATCCCCTGGAGAAGGAAATGGCAACCCACTCCAGTATTCTTGCCTGGAGAATTCCATGGAGAGAGGAACCTAGTGGACTACAGAGATAATATAAGAAATTTTACTTATTTGATATTTAGATTGCCTATAGTACTATAACATCTTTATTGAGACATAACTCATATACCATAAAATTCACCTTTTTACAGTGTACAATTCAGTTGTTTCAGTATATTCATAGTTTGGTAACCATCATCACTACCTAACTTTAGAACATTTTCATCACCTCAAAAAGAAACCCACTTCCATTAACAATCACTCTCTAATCCTTTGCAGTTTTTTTAATTTATAATGTTTCTGTAAACATATATACATATGGTTTCTTTTTTTTTTTGAAAGATTTTCTCAGAACAAATTAAAGAAACAGATTTTTGAATCAATGAGTCTTTGTATTTTCATGTATAATTACTGATTGTGTCATGAAGTGCCCAGATAATTGGTTAAATGTTACTTTTGTCCATGATTTCAAACTATATTACAAAGCTATAGTAGTCCAAACAATATCATAATGGCACAAAAACAAACACATAAATCAATGGGACAGAATAGAGAGGCTAGAAATAAAACCACACTTGTTTGGTCAATTAATTTATTACAATAGGGAAAGGGTAATGTCTTCAACAAATGGTGATAATAAAACTAAACAGCTACACCCAAAAGAATGAAACTAGACTCTTATATTATACACAAAATAGCTCAAAATGGATTAAAGACTTGAAGGGAAGACGTGAAACCTCACAAATTTTAGAAGAAAACATAGGCAGTAAGCTCCTTAACAGCAGTCTTGACAAGGAAGTTTTTGAATCTGACAGCAAAAAATAAAGGCAACAAAACAAAAATAAACAAGTGGGATTACAAGCTAAAAAGCTCTGGACAGCAAAGGAAGCCATCAACGAAATGAAAAGGAAACCTATAGAATGGGAGAAAATATTTGCTAAGCATATATCTGATAAGGCGTTTACCCAAAATATTTAAAGAAATCATACAACTTAATAACAGAAAATTACCTGATTAAAAAATGGGCTGAGGATCTGAATAGTTCACAAATTCTTGTCAAAATGGAAAAATTTTCATAATACAAATCCTGATAAATGGTTTAAAAACTATTGGTTAATTGAGTAGGAGGAACTAAAGAGCCTCTTGATGAAGGTGAAAGAGGAGAGTGAATTTGCGGGTGGGTGAGGTTCCTACTCCACACCACCCAGACCTGGGCTTTATCCTACTCAGGGTCTCGCTCAGGGCCAGGTGAGTGGAGACCTGATCTGTTATCAGAATAAATGTCACCACAATTCAATTTTTTTTTTAAAGGAGAGTGAAAAAGCTGGCTTAAAACTCAACATTCAAAAAATGAAGATCATGGCATCCAGTCCCATCACTTCATGGCAAATAGATGGGGAAGCAATGGGAAACAGTGACAGATTTTACTTTCCTGGGCTCCAAAATCACTGCAGATGGTGACCGCAGCCATGAAATTAAAAGACACTTGCTCCTTGGAAGAAAAGCTATGTTAAACCTAGACAGCGTATTAAAAAGCAAAGACATTACTTTGCTGACAAGGGTCCATATAGTCAAAGTAGTGGTTTTTCCAGTAGTCATGCATGGATGTGAGATTTGGACCATAAAGAAGACTGAGTGCTGAAGAATTGATACTTTGAGCTGTGGTTTTGGAGAAGGCTCTTGAGAGTCTCTTGGACTGCAAAGAGATCCAACCAGTCCATCCTAAAGGAAATCAGTACTGAATACTCATTGAAAGGACTGATGCTGAAGCTGAAACTCCAATACTTTGGCCATCTGATATGAAGAGCCTACTCGTTGGAAAATACCTTGATGCTGGGAAACACTGAAGGCAGGAGAAGGGGACGACAGGATGAGATGGCTTGATGGCATCACCAACTCAATGGATATAAGTTAGGGCAAATTCCAGGAGATGGTGAAGGACAGGAAAACCAGGGATGCTGCAGTCCATGTGGTCGCAAACAGTCAGACACAACTGAGCAGCTGAACAACAACTCTCTTATTTATAGGTGAAGAGCTCAATTGAGTAGGATATCAAGCACCTGAGCTTCCACTGTGCCTGAAACAGCAAATAAATGTTAGATGCAGAGGCAAGGGGACTGGATACTTAACTCCTGCCTTCTTTGGGAGTCCAGCAAAAGATTTAGAAACCAGAATTTTCCCACCCTAGTTGCCGAGAAATGGGGAGTTATTAATTGTTTACTTTCAGAAGACTGCTCCAAGTCAGGAAATCTAATTTCTAGTCCTAGAGCAACTTGACAGTTGTAGGTAAAATTCAAGACCATTATTTCCTCTTTTAGTGCTTACTTCCCAAGGCAGATGATGCACATACTTACTCAGTCGTGTTTGACACTTTGAGACCCCATGGACTATAGCCTTCCAGACTCCTCTGTCCATGGTATTTTCCAGGCAAGAATACTGAGGTGGGTTGCCATTTCCACTTCCATCTCCAGGGAATCTTTCTGACCCAGGAACAGAACCTGAGTGTCTTGCATTGACCAGTGGATTCTTTACCACTGCGCTACCCAGGAAGTCCTAGGCAGAGGACAGGAACAATTAATACCCAAACAGCTGACTTTACCGGACTATAAAAACCAGGAGTGAGCTGACATATTTGAAAGTATTAAGAAAAGATGAAAAAGTTGGCTTAAAACTCAACATTCAGAAAACTAAGATCATGGCATCTGGTCCCATCACTTCATGGCAAGTAGATGGGGAAGCAGTGGAANTTGAGGGCAGGAGGAGAAGGAGACGACAGAGGATGAGACGGTTGGATGGCATCACCGACTCAATGGACATGAGTTTGGGTAAACTCCGGGAGTTGGTGATGGACAGGGAGGCCTGTTGTGCTGCAGTCACAAAGAGTCCGACACGACTGAGCAACTGAACTGATGATAAGATGAGCAGCGCATAATGAAATACTACGTATGCACAAGCTGGGTTTGAATCTGTGTGACCAGAAGCAAGTCATGTAAATCTGAACTGGCTTCATCTGTCAAACGTCCTCCCCTTGACGTCCCCTAACTGGTAGAAGTCAGCAGCTGAGGGGGGGGCTTTATGCGTTGCCCCCAGGTGGTCACCATGCAGGTGAATGTGCTTATCTTCTGTGTCTAAATTCTGACTCTGGGCCTCGCTGGCCCAACTCTCTTATTTGTAGATGAAAAGAGCTCAGAGATCAAATGACTTCTCCAAAATCACACAAACGCCTTGGGGGTCTATGAAGAATCTACCGCGCCCTGCGTTGGACTCCTAGCCTGGAATGGCAACTCCACAACGTGGCTACCTTCTCAGAGATAAGCTGAGGCCCGTCACCTAGCGGCAGGCCACAGGCAAAGCAAGGGAAGCGTCTTGAAAGAGACTCCGGGTACTGCGGCAGCCAAGAGCCAATACGCTCTCAGTTCGCTCAGTTAACTCCTTTTTCCCATTGGACCTCTAAAAGTGTCAGTCAATCATTTGTCGAGTTTTTACTGGCTTAACTCCACCCATTCTACTCAATCTACTAATCATATGGTTCTTTCCAAGAGCATATTTAGATGGTTAAAGCTCCTCCTAAGTCTGACGAGTTTAGCCGGTTCTTCTATTCCATTGGCTGGATCCGGCCCCTCCTCCCGTACATCCTGTTCGGAGCGGAAATGAGAGAGCCCCTCTTCCTATTGGTTTAGATTTGCAAGCGCGGTGATCTCTCAAGTCTATCCTGGCAACGTCCGCTGTCAGGAAGTACAGTTCCGGAAGGGGCAGGCTTTGTGAAGATGGCGGCTCCGGTGAGTTTCGTGTGTTTGTTTCCTTGGCTTAATATTGTGGACGTTTCCTTTCTCCTCGGTGCCTGGAGGCAAATTATTGGCGCGAGGGAAGGATGGTGATAAAAATAGCTCTACCGAGGCGTCCTCCCAGCCACAAGCGTAGTAAGGAGACGGGACTGGAGTTCACTTTCCTTTCCAGTAACGTGAGAGGCTGGCCGGCCGTGAGGCGAGGCTGCATGGGCATCGGAGTGGGAAGGCAGGAAGTCTGGGCTGTTTGAAGGAGAGAGGGGACTTTTCCACCCCACACCTTCCGTCTTATGATCCTGAGGAAAGAAATGACTTTTCTTTACTCTCACTTCCATAGGAGGTGTTGGAGTCAGACCTGCCAAATGCTGTGGCACTTTTGAAAAACCTCCAGGAGCAGGTGAGTAATGCCACCCCTTATGGAATAGATTAATTGCAAATCTGCTTTGACTTTGTTTGCCTCACCTCTAAACTCTGGTGATTTTGGGGCATGTGGTTTACCTGGTGGCTCAGCGGTATAGAACCTGCCTGCCAGTGAAGGAGACTCAGGTTGGATCCCTGGGTAAGGAAGAGCCCCTGGAGAAGGAAATGGCAACCCACTCCTATATTCTGTCTGGGAAATGCCATGGACAGAGGATCCTGGTAGCCCATGGGGTCGCAAATAATTGGATAGGACATAGCGACTGAGTACGCATTTGAATGACCAGATGCAGGATGATCTAATGAAAACCTTTTCAGGCAACAATTCAGAGTAATTGATTTCTGCATCCAAAAGAATATAGGAAACTTCAGGGAAAAAACCATCTGAATCAATTTCCTTTATTCCTATAGATAACAAAACCAATGATGAGAAAGGTGATGGTGATTTGCCCTTTGGGTGCCCAGCTGATATACAGTTATATACTAATAGATCTCACATTGCAAGTTCAACTGTACAAAGCTGCAGTGCCCTCATGACCACTGTCCCAGTTCTCATCCCCTACCCCTAGTTTGGTATTTAAGAAGAGGTTGAAAGTTTTTTCTACTTTTTGAAGAAGTATCAGAAACAGCCTCTCCTGTACTTTCCCAGAACTGAAAAGAAGATGATGGTGTACTCAGATATCAGTATTTTTTAGGTGGCTTGTTTAGGTTTTGTCCTTCACAGCTCATAGAGATGACTTTATTGTATCCTGATCAGGGGTTTTATTTGGATTAATTTCAGGTGATGGCTGTCACGGCACAAGTGCAAACTCTGACCAAAAAAGTTCAAGCTAAAGCTTATCCTACAGAGAAGGTAAGACATAATTGAAGAGTAAGCATCCCTTGACTTAATATTCTCAACAGTTCTATCCATTGTAGACTTATTGAGTATGTTGTGTGTCCTCAGTGTTGGAGCTTTGAAGATGAATAAGATCCAGTTTCTGTGCTGAAGTCTAATAGAGAAGGCAGGTGAAAGCAGTAGATATAAACAGTAGCGTCATGGTGAAAACTGAGGCGTGAGATTAAATGATCAGCAAGGAGCAAAGGGGGTTAGGCCTCTTAGAGGAGGTAGCAGGATTGTGAGGAGTAAACAAGGGTCAGAGGGATGGAAAGAAATAGCATGTGCAAAAACACGAAGATCTAACACATGATGATATTCTGGAAAGGAGGTATGTCATATAGTGTGCTTTTTTTGTACATTTTATGTGTATTTTGGGGGCAGGGCTAGAAAATATGACTGGAAAAGTAGTCACTCTACGAAAAGCCTTGTAGGCCAACTAAGGAGTTACTACTGTATTCATTTAATCCAAAATTTTGCTAATTGGGGGGCATATTGCTTATTTTATATACTAACAAGTACTGCTTGTTAATCTGTGACATACTAAGATACTGTGGATTTAAAGATTTATTCTGACTATGAAAATGATGTGTATCTTAAAATTAAATAGTGATTTTCAAATTAAGGTCTTGAAGTTTCCAAGGGATTATTGGGTGTAGGACAAGTATAGAAGGACTCTGGATCAGTATAGAAGGAATGAGGGATCTCTGGATCCCTCATACCAGCTTGAACTGTGTTGCCTGTTTTATGTATTGAGCTTTTGTTCTAAGATATTATTTAAGCAGGATATTCCATAGGTCAGCAGAAGTATGGAAATCATTATAGTAGGTCAATAAAAGTCATTGAAGGTTTTTAAAACACGAGATTTATAGCAGACTTGTGCTTTAGGAAGACAACTAAATGAATTTTTAGTGTATCTTTTTGCCATTTCTTTCTCTTGATTCATTTTTGTTCTCCTTATTTTTAATCTTTGCTTCTTGTTTTGTTTTAGTCTTATACACTTGTAACCCATACACTTGTAACTCATAAGCTTGACAATGCCTAAGCATGTCGAAAGATCCTGTTTCTCACATTCTTGGCTGTCTTTATTCTGGGTATAATGCTTTTATGCATTTTAATGCCTTTTTGAGATGAGCTGCTCACATGTATCTTAGATCACTATATATTTATTCATTGAATAGATATTTATTAACTTAGAGAATCAAAGACCTTTATTAGGTGTTTTATAGGCTACAAAGTATTTTCCCATCTTATTTGAGTCTCATGTTACATGTTACAGATGAGGAGACAAATACCCAATATTTGACTATTGAATGACTAATTCAAAAGTTGAGCTCAGCTTGTCTGTCTTTAAATGCTTTGCTCGTCCTCCTGTATCATGCTAGTGTTGACCTCAAGCATGTTGGTTTACGGATACTCAGGGCTTGGGTGTTGGAGTCAGACTGAGTTTGAATCCCAGCTCTACTCCTATTGCTGTGTTATCTTGGGCAGAGATTACTTAACCTGTCTGAAGTAGGTCTTCCAAGGTCTGTGGAATTTTTCAGTTTTGTTTTATGCAGTCAATACTAAGATACTGTGGATTTAAAGATTTATTCTGACTATGAAAATGATGTGTATCTTAAAATTAAATAGTGATTTTCAAATTAAGGTCTTGAAGTTTCCAAGGGATTATTGGGTGTAGGACAAGTATAGAAGGACTCTGGATCAGTATAGAAGGAATGAGGGATCTCTGGATCCCTCATACCAGCTTGAACTGTGTTGCCTGTTTTATGTATTGAGCTTTTGTTCTAAGATATTATTTAAGCAGGATATTCCATAGGTCAGCAGAAGTATGGAAATCATTATAGTAGGTCAATAAAAGTCATTGAAGGTTTTTAAAACACGAGATTTATAGCAGACTTGTGCTTTAGGAAGACAACTAAATGAATTTTTAGTGTATCTTTTTGCCATTTCTTTCTCTTGATTCATTTTTGTTCTCCTTATTTTTAATCTTTGCTTCTTGTTTTGTTTTAGTCTTATACACTTGTAACCCATACACTTGTAACTCATAAGCTTGACAATGCCTAAGCATGTCGAAAGATCCTGTTTCTCACATTCTTGGCTGTCTTTATTCTGGGTATAATGCTTTTATGCATTTTAATGCCTTTTTGAGATGAGCTGCTCACATGTATCTTAGATCACTATATATTTATTCATTGAATAGATATTTATTAACTTAGAGAATCAAAGACCTTTATTAGGTGTTTTATAGGCTACAAAGTATTTTCCCATCTTATTTGAGTCTCATGTTACATGTTACAGATGAGGAGACAAATACCCAATATTTGACTATTGAATGACTAATTCAAAAGTTGAGCTCAGCTTGTCTGTCTTTAAATGCTTTGCTCGTCCTCCTGTATCATGCTAGTGTTGACCTCAAGCATGTTGGTTTACGGATACTCAGGGCTTGGGTGTTGGAGTCAGACTGAGTTTGAATCCCAGCTCTACTCCTATTGCTGTGTTATCTTGGGCAGAGATTACTTAACCTGTCTGAAGTAGGTCTTCCAAGGTCTGTGGAATTTTTCAGTTTTGTTTTATGCAGTCACAGTGACTTTTTTTTCCCCTATAACTATACCTTAAGTCTGCTTACACAAGTTACTTTTTTATTTAAAAGAATGCACTTACAATTTCTGATTAGCAAATCATAATACACTGTAATGTAATACACTTCTTTGGTGGTGGACTACCCTGTGCAGCATGTGGAATCTTAGTTCCCTGACCAGGGACTGAACCTGTGCCCCCTGCAGTGGAAACGCAGAGTCTTAATCACTGGACCACCAGAGAAGTCCCTATAATGATTTCTAATTGTTGGAAAGTTGAAAAGATACATAAAATCACAAAGAAGAAAATTAAACATCAGTGTGATCACCATTCTGAGATACCCACTGGGGTACATTTAAAAATTTTGTTTGTTATAAAAGTAACATGTGCTTGATGGAAAATCAATTTTTTAGTACTCTCCATTTCTTCCTTTTACTCATCTTCGTTCCCAGGGGTAGTAGTTGCTAATTGTATTATCTTCATTTTTCTATACATGTGAAATATGTGTATCATACTTCTCCCCTCCTCAATTTGAACCACATTATTCACTCTTTCTACTTAGGTAGAAAGTGTGTTGACATAGAATTAAGTCCCTGTCAGTATGTATAGAGATCATTGTTTTTACCTGTAATTTATAATTTCATCATATGGGGATAAAAGCATATATTCACTGTGTGTGGTATATATTCACTGTAGGGATTCAATAATCACTACAAAATCATAGTGACTGTTTTGGTTAAATTAATTTAAAATTCAGCCCTGTGTGGAGATATTTTTGATTGTCACAACTTGAGGGGTGGGATCAGTGGTAGAGGTCAGGGCTGCTGTTGAACATCCTTTAGTCCTCCTCTGTTCATTGTAGATTGAACAGTGCTCCACAGCAAAGAATTATCTATCCCCAAATAGCAGTAGCCCTTGAGTTTGAGAAACCTTGCTATAGTGATCTTGGGGTATACTTTATTGATTTTCATGCTCTTCCTGTCTTCCATAATTTTGTGAGCTTTTCTTCTGTCATGTTAGCATAATTTTCTCTGTGGCCATTTTAGGTATAGCCACTTCCTTGAAACTACTCTAGATACCTTACGTGAACTGCTTGGAGAAAACTTGAACTTGGAAAAAATTATCCAGTGTTCCCTAGGCTCTCTCTCCTCATTCTCTGGTTAAAACTGAATTTGCTTCTTATGATTCAACTCAGGGTCTCAGCCTTTTGGAAGTAAAAGATCAGCTGTTGCTCATGTACCTCATGGATTTGAGCCATCTCATCCTGGACAAAGCCTCGGGAGGTTCTCTTCAGGGACATCCTGCAGTTTTGAGACTGGTGGAGATTCGCACGGTACAAAGCATTTGGCGTCTTACGGGGTCTAAGTTGCTAAATCCTGAATTCCAGAACTGTGACATGATCGCTCTCATTTAAGTGGGTGTTCTCATGTTCCCTGGGTCAGGAAGATCCCCTGGAGAAGGGAGTAGCAACCCACTCCAGTATTCTTGCCTAGAGAATTCCATGAACAGAGTAACCTGACGAGCTACAGTCCATGGGATCACGAAGATCAGACCGGACTGAGCAACTAACACTTTTATTTTTTTTTTTCATTTTTCTCATGTTTAATGAGGAAACCAAATGGAGAAAAAGCATTTTTGTTTTCATTTGCTCTACTTTTTGCATATTTTAGGGGCTTTATCTGGAAGCTTAAAATAGGAACTTTTGGTATGTGCTTATTTAGGGGAAGGACATGTAATGGTATTTAACCACATTTTAGGTTTTGGAAAAGCTTCGTCCTTTGGACCAAAAACTGAAGTATCAGATTGACAAACTGGTCAAGACTGCAGTGACAGGCAGCCTCAGTAAGTAAGGGAAACTGTAGGTTTTCTGGGGACCATTCAAAAAGTTCCAAGTCTTTTAAAATCTCTTGAATCTTTTATTGTAGGTGAGAATGACCCACTCCGTTTTAAGCCTCATCCCAGCAATATGATGAGCAAGGTAAGAGGCTGCAGTACCCTGGTTTTCCTGAGGGACCTAAACCTGGGTGAACCTTGTGGTGCTCCTGGACCTTCTGGGATTTCTCTTATTACTGTTGACGCCCAGCTTGTACCTAAGAGTGTTGAATGTGAGATTCCCCTTTCTCCCTCTGGTTTGTATTCCCACTTTCCCAGGTACTTCAGCTTTCGATTTCCTTGTCACTTATTTGACTACCTCTTCCTAAGTTTGTGTGGACATTATGTTCCTCTTGTAGTTGAGCTCTGAGGATGAGGAGGAAGATGAAACAGAGGAAGGCCAGTCTGGGGCTTCAGGGAAGAAATCTGGAAAAGGAACAGCTAAGAAATACGTCCCACCACGCTTGGTTCCAGTGCATTATGGTATGAACTGTGACTGCTGCTTCCTCTGTGTGAATTGTGTTTCTCTTCTCTGTTCTGGGATAACTGTTGCTGATTTTTAATCACACAGATGAAACAGAAACTGAGCGGGAGAAGAAGCGCCTAGAACGAGCCAAGAGACGGGCGTTGAGCAGCTCTGTCATTCGTGAGCTAAAGGAGCAGTACTCAGATGCTCCAGAGGAAATCCGAGATGCTCGGCATCCTCATGTTACTCGCCAGAGTCAGGAGGATCAACACAGGTGCAGTTAGAAGTTGTCTATGCTGTAGGGACTTGTCCTTTTGTTTTGAATGAATATGATTAATCTGATTCCAAGAGAACCCATGTTATCTAGGAAATGGGAGTACTAAACTTGGGTTAGTGATTTCTAAGAATTAGAGTTTTGAAGTACAGAATGGGGACTGGGGGAAAAATGTTCCCCCCCACCACCACCCCAAGCTGTTCAAGCTAAGCAAATGCTCCATGGAGAAAAAAATATGCATTGCCACTGACTAAGGCTTTAAAGTTCTGTTTCACTATCCCTGCTCTTTATTTTGTGAAGAAAGCAAGAAAATCAGGTTTTTAGATAAGTTCAGGGAAGAAAAGTAGAAAAGCAATTGTTGAACACAGATTTGTCAACTTTGCCTAGGTGTCAATCTGTACAGTCGATAGATTTCAGTGAGAAGGTCCATGTAGGGGATCCTATTTATGAAGCTGGAATACAAAGAATTTTATATAATAATTTAAATATTCCTGTGGATGGGCTGTGAGTTCATTTCTGGGGGCGGGGAGGGAAGTTTTAGCACAAAGAGCATTTCATTGAACATTGAGTACTGAGCATATAGTATCACCTCACCAAATACTATAGTGACTAGCTCTGAAATTTCTTGAGAACTGTCTACATGATGGCTGAGTAAACACCTGGGCCAGGTTCTTGGCTGCAGTTTTCTACCTCAGTGGACTGAGTATGCTGGAAGCTGTCTGTGTTTCTGCTCAGGATTAACTATGAGGAGAGCATGATGGTGCGTTTAAGTGTCAGCAAGCGGGAGAAAGGACGGCGGAAACGAGCAAATGTCATGAGCTCACAGCTTCATTCCCTCACGCACTTCAGTGACATCAGTGCTCTGACAGGAGGAACCCCTCATCTTGACGAGGTGAGGTGCAGATCCAGTGGTGGGAGGTGACCTTCACGCTCGCAGCTAAGTGTATGTGGGCTTATTACCATGAGGAACTTGGAAAGGGACACTAGTACTTGAAAGCACACAGCCATTCCTTCCCTTCTCCGTGCATCTCCAGGATCAAAATCCTACTAAGAAGCGGAAGAAGATACCTAAGAAAGGTCGGAAGAAGAAAGGTTAGTGAATGGCTCAGACTTGGGTGATCAAGTGCAGCGTGGGCTTTATAAATTGAGATACCAGCTCTGGATTTGCCATTCTAGTTCTTGCAAACCTCTATAGTATCTCTTCCATACTGGGCATTGATCTCTTTAGATGTAGGCATTTATCTTTTTCTTTTCCAAGGTGAAAATCAGTAAATTCACAAAAGAGACTTCTGGATTCTCTCTCTGAAGTCCCCATAGCTCTTGTGCAGGCTTACTTACGAAAATATAAAAGCATCACTTGAAGGAACTGTTACTCAATGTCAGTTTCCTTCCTACTTCTAGTCTTTTTTCCCTGGGAGGATACAGAGTACTGCTGAGGGGACCCACTCCTAAGGAGCCCTTTTCTCTAGATGGTCTTTTTTTCTGTCTCTTCGGTTTTTCCCAACTGTCCTTTGCCTCATTCTTGGTTTCCCTTCCTTTCAGGTTTTCGGAGGCGGCGGTGATTATGGTTGTACATACTTAATTTATTTTTGTCATCCGGGATACTTCTAATTTCATTGTATGTAGGTTTTTTCTTTGGAATTAATTCATCATTTACTCCGGACATGTGGAAAGATCTTTATTAATAAAATTGATTTTACGTAACGAATTGAAGCCCCTTTTGCACATGTATTATATGACTGGAATCACTGGGTGTGGGTATTTTTGGTGAGAGGGTGATGGAAAAGGGAAAGAGGAGATTTTGGGGGGAATAAGAAAGTTTGGCTTTATATGGTTTTCTTTGATAAATATTTTCCCCAGAAATGAGAAATTGGCTATTTAGTCAAAAAGTATTGAGAGATTAGTGTTAATACATTCTTTTCGCCCCCATGTTGCCCCAAGTTCCTGTATGATTTATTGTAATGATAATACAGATAATCTGAAATATATGTACATTTTAAGATTTATTATGTATCTTACGGAAATCCCCAGGTGGCTCATTGGTAAAAAATCCGCCTGCTAATGCAGGAAATATGGGTTCAATCCCTGCATCAGGAAAGATCCCCTGGAGGAGGAAATGGCAACCCGCTCCAGTATCTTTGCCTGAGAAATTCCACGGACAGAGAAATGGGCCACAGTCCACGGGGTGGTAGAGTCTGTCACGACTGTGCACGCAGGCAGTGTATTTTATTGACCACCAGATGGCATTGGTGGTTCAGAAAACCTTTGTTTTTGACTGTAATCGAATTCTATTAAATGGAACCTTTTCCTCATTACCAAGAGTTATTCTTGTCTCCACTTGTCTGAATGTTTTTCTTTTCTCTAAAACAGCATGGAAATAGGGCAGTCCTCAGGTCCGTTATTGAAAAAGTGTATCTAGAGAAAATAGAGTGAATAAGAGGAGTGTAAGGAATCAGTACAGTCTTATGGTTTTCTGACTTGTTGATGCTCCTTCAACAAAGGCTTCAGTTACCAGTTAGTAAAGGCCGGTCCTTTTACAAAGACCTTGTGAAATAATGCCAACAAGCAGGCAGACAGAAAACTCCTACAGACCAAAAGAATGAAATCCTGCAGACATCAGCCCAAGTCAGGAGACTGGTAGAGGTTACATATCTGAGATTTTATATTCGATTCAAAGAACGACTTCTGTTAGTGAGAGATCCCTCTGGCTTTGGATAATACAGAAAATGAAAAGAGGAATGGGAAGGGAGTTGAGCCTATAGAAATAATTCCTTGGAATTAATGATGTGTCATGGAGAGGGATATAATTTGGATCACTATGTCACTAAAACCTTGTTGATTCTAAGTCCTATGAATTTGGACTTACATTGGTCTGCCCAGTTGGGGCAGGGTTTGCTTTCAGTCAGCTGTAGCTTGGTAGAAAGTGGTTAAGAGAGACAGTCTAGTACTGTCTTCTGTTAACTCTGTGATCTTCTGCAAATACTTGACATCTCTGGCCTTTAGTTTCCCTCAGTTGAAAAATAAATGTATTAGACTGAATCTGAGATTTCCTGCAAATCAAGGAGCCTAAAGCAGTTTCTTATGGATACCAAGATGCACTCCTGGCAGGTCTGAACAAGCCTAATGTGTTCAGAGCCTGCCTTTTTCCTTTCTGGCTGAACTAACTGAACAAGAGGTTAGGACCACTACATTCTCTTTTAGGACTAGCTATTGCATTTGCTTCTAATTTGTTAAGATTTTTGGATTGTGGGAACTACCAAGGGAAAGGAGGTGCTCTTTTTTTGTTGTTTTTTAAGGTCTTACTTTGTGTTATATACTGAACTAANTGGCCTTTTTATGTTACAGGAGTGAACTGAACACACAGAAATCCCTGCCTTTGTGGATCTTATATTAATTCAATCCAGTCTTTAATCTCAGGAAATCTTGTTATCCCTGGCCTTCTAGATGACAGGCGCTATTTGAAAGAGGTTTCCAACCAAAAACTTGAGTAATTTCTGACAATATTTTCACCAGAGTTATCAAACAATGTTTAAAGTACATTGTTGACAGAATTTTTCGTGGAATCTCACCCTGTAAAACAGACATAAGTGAGGTTCCTTTGAAGTGGGAATGAGGGGTCCTAGAGCTTCGTGTTCTCATGGCCCACTTCTCCCACGATTTCTGGGGAGCTCCTAGGAACCTTTAAAACTCTGTAGCATGTAGTTTCAAAATCACTTTTATAGTAGTATGGCAAGGAAGCTAAGAATTAATTTCAGGGTTTCTTTATGGCTGTCATTTGCTTTTCTTTTTTCCCTTCTTCCTATTTCAGATTTAGTTCTCTGGTCAGACCACATGAATGTCAGATCTCATCAGTGCAAAGAATGCATCACTTCCAGCATTCACTAAGTGAGGTGTATCATCAGTGCACATGAGCACTTGTTCAGTTTTATCATGTGGTGTCTGTTAAAAATGTGAAGGATCCTTCCTCCCTAGCAGCACAGCAGACACCACTGATCACATCTCTCTCCCCTCCCTCTGCAGACCTTTTGCATTCTCTCATTCTTTCCACCCTATCTCCCACCCGACCTCCAGGTCTCTGAGGGGGTGGGGTGGGGGGCTGCCTTTCCTTCTCAGAGCTTGGTGCCTCCCTGGGGGTCTCTAATGATGGTTGGAATTTCAGGGCAGTGCTGGGTGGAAACAGCTGAGTGAGTTCATTGCCCCCATGGAGGGAGGGGTACTCCAGCAAGAGAAAACTCTTTCTCCAGTACTGATAAATACTTTGGCATTTCTGCCTTAGTATTGTCATCTGAAGGGGAGGGAAGAGGGTTTGATCAAGGCCTGTTTTTGCCTCTAAAGCTTTGTTTTGTAATGATTTTATGAGGGCTTGGGAAATGTCTTTCAGGAGTATGCAGCAGTCTTAATGAATACCTTACTAGTAGAATATGAGGACTCCATATCCTTTTTCAGCACCATGGAGAGCTCAAGCCTTTTCATCGTGTTCCTTGCCTTGGGTTGGTGGAAGGTACAGAGCTGAACCAATCCACTGAGCTGCTTGGTGTAGACCTACCCTTTTGCATAGCCCAGTTTATCTGTTCAATCTCCAGTTCTGATTGGTATGGATTCAGTGAGAGGCAGCAGCATTCCTGAGTGTCCCCATACTCCCTCTCTTCTATTAGGTGTGTAAACCTCAGATTCATGTTGAGACTTGCCCAAGGATTTGTCTAACTTGATAGTGGCATATGAGTGAAATCCTGCCTTCTACTCTATTGGTAACATAATTCATATTGTGATGAACAGGGTTTTTTAACAGCCCTTGAGAAAAACTCTCACCCCTACTTTTCTTTGCTTCCAGACCCCTGAGGAGACTTGAAGTTGCTTTTCATTCCTTGGGTTTGGGCTCTTTTTCTGCCTCTGCATGGAGAAAGGCATTATTGCTCTGGCTCTCTGCCCAGTCTCGCTTTTGTATTTCTTTGATCTCATTGTTCAGAGGGTCTCAGAGAAGCCCCAAGAGCCATGCCTTTGCATGTTTAAGCTATTGATGCTTTTGAAATAACAGAGCGCCACTGTGTAAGAAGTGTATTAAAGGTCTATCTTGAACAAATTTGGGTCAATAGGTGGCAGTAGTCTACCTAGTCCCGAGGCCCTGACACCCCCTGAGCACATTTGATGGCCATTATATTTAAGGTTGTGAGAAAGGAGGTCACATTGAAATAGGGAGAAAAGCAGTCCCTTTTGGTGGGATCTGGGAAAGGCTGAAATGCACCGGCTTACTTCTGTGGGGTGTTGTGTATCAGCTGTGAAGGGCACTGGTAGGAAAGACCGGGGCCTCAGGTTAGGAGTGTGAGGTGGGTACTAGGGCGTCTCAGAGCTAGAGTGAGACTGTGTTCAATGAGGACCCGTGCTGAAAGGACTGAGTCTAGGGCTAGGGGAGTAGGGGGAGGTGGAGGAGGGAGGGGCAGAGCTGTGCGAAGGGACCTCGGAAAGGGTGGGCCCTGACGGGGAGGACTGCGGGGGGAGGGGGAGCCGCAATCCTGAGCCCACGTCGTGGGGGAGGGGCGCTTCCGCTGCATTGGCTCCCCTCCCCCACACTTCCCGAGGAGCCGGAGCAATGCTGGCAAATCTGTCTTCGTGTATTTATTATTATTAAAAATATGAAGGATCCTTCCTCCCTGAAAGCACGACAGATCACGTCTTCTCTCTCCCCTCCCTCTGCAGAGCTTTGGCATTCTCTCTCATTCTCTTCCACCCTTCCCCGGTCCCCCACCCCACCCCAGGCCTGTTCGGTGGGGGGACCCTTCCCTTCCCTTCTCAGAGCTCAGTGGTCCCTGCGGGTTTCTAATGACGGTTGGGAGTTTCGGGGCAGCGCTGGGAGGAAGCAGCTGAGTGAGGGGCGGCCAGTGCCCCAGGGAGGGAGCTGCACTCCAGCCTCTAGTGGGGAAATGAAGTCACTTGGAAATAAAGAGAAAACCCTTTCTCCCGCTAATGAAGGGAGAAACAGGTGCACGCGCTGCCTTCAGTACCTGGCATTCCTCCTCCTCACCCTTCTCTTGTCTACTGTTTGAATTCTGAGAGGGAAACCTCCTTGGAATGGAAAAAGCCAGGAGTTCTCTGTCCGTGCCCACCGCCGCCCGCCCCTTGTTAAATCCCTGTCTTCCCAGGAGAGCCGCTTAGAATGTATTCTTGTAGCCGGCGTGTTGTGTTACTGAGAGGCTTGAAGGGCAGAAGCCCTGGCTTCTCCCGCCCCGCCTGCACCCCAGGCTCGCGCGTCCAGGCGGGGGGCCTCTTTTGTTGCAGTCTGTAGCCGCCCGCCTTGCCCATAGGTGGTGCTGCTGCTGCTCTGCGTGGAGGGGCCTCCCCACCCACGGCGCCCTCCCCCTCCCCCAGCCCTCTACTGCCTGATTGTTATTCCACCAGCGTCTCCTCTACTGTTCCCTTCCTCAAATTAATTTTGTGGCGCTCTTTTTCCGCAGTGCCATCTTCTTCCCCTCCCCCCTGCTCCAACTCCCTCGCTTTCTCTGTCTCTGTTTCTCTCTTTCTGTCTGTCTGCAGGATTTTCATCTCATTCCCCTATCTCAGACCACACTCTTCCTTACTCCCTTTATTTCTCTTTATCTCTTCTGTCCTTGGCATCTTTCAGAGGACTGTCCTAATGAAAAGGGGCCATAGTGACGGTGGGTTAGAAAAGGGCAGCATCGAGGAGCTCATGGGTCAGTGTTGAGGGCCAGGTCAGGGGA